CGGCCCGTCTCAGGGCAGGTCCCCGCGAGGCTGAGGCCGCTCCCGTGCTGCCGGCGGCGGAGGCGGGAGGGTCGGGGACCCGAAGGGGCTCTGCCCCACAGCCCCAGACTGCGGCACCTGGCTTCGGGTCAGCTCCGGCTGTGTTAATTGCTGCTACTCCCCCCCGCTCGTCCCGAGTGCCTCCGCCGGGGGCTGCCCCTGGGGCTTTGTCATCGCCCCCACCCCGCCTCGTGCCCGGGCCGGCGCTGGTTGTGGTGCGGGGGCGACTAACGGGACGTTGAGGGAAAGTCTCGCCCGGGAGTGGGGCCAACTTGTGACTTGGCCTCTACTCCCGGGGAGATCCGCTCTGAACACAGGTCCGGGAATAGGGACCAGCTCGGTCTCCTGCCGCCACCGCGGCTGAGGCCGGGCAAGTCCCCAGCCGCAGCGCGGCCAGCCCCGGTCGCGAGGGGCGCGGGCTGGGGCCGGGGCCGGAGCCAGACGCGCTGCAGCCCTGGGGGTGTGGGTCGCGCCGGGGGCAGCGCTGAGGCGCGGAGCGGTTCATCCGCGGACAGCCGCGCTGAGTCCCTGCAGCCCGGGACAACCGTCCGGCTGCGCAATGTACTATGGGACACGAGTCCCCGCTCGCTCATACCTCCGCCGAGCTTAGAGCAGCACAAAAGCCCGCGGACAGCAAGGCCCGGCAGCCCCTGCGCGCCCCCGGGGGCCGACGGGAGCTGTAGTCCCCGGGCAGGGGCCGCTGCGGATGGCGGGGTGGGTCTCAGCCCCGAGTGCACCACAACTCCCAGCCGCCCCTGCGGCCCCCACCACTCCAGTGCAATCTCGGCCGGCTGCTGGCGCTGGGGCGGCACCGGCTGGAGCGGGGATGCAATGGTCGGGGGCGGGTGAAAAGGCGGCGGCTGCGGGGCTTTGTGGCGGAGCGGAGCGGAGCTGGGTTGGGATCGCGGCCGCGGTTCCCCGCCGCGCCGCGCCCTGCAGGATGCCCAGCTCGGGCTCCCGGAGCGCAGGCAGGTAGCGAGCGAGCGGGTACATCCTTTCAGGGCGCGATGAGTGCGGGCGCTGCTGGGTGGGAGCCGCGCCGAGCCGCCGGGCGATCCCCTCGGAGCCCCGCAGCCGCCCTCGCCGCGTCCGGGCTGTGGAGCGGGAGTGCCCCACGCGGGACCCGCGAGTCTCGGTGGCAGACGGCGCTTTCTTGGATGCCTGTGGGGCCCGTTACAAGCCCCTGCCCTGCGGCGCGGGGCCTCCTCCGACCGCCTGCCGGCCTTGTCAGGGGGCCTTCCCCGCCCTCCTGCCCTTGCCGCCAGGCTGCCTGCGGGCACGGCGGGGCTGCCCTTGCCGAGGCTCTGGCCGTGCCTCCGGGAGAGGTTAGGCGCGGGAGCGTGGCCCGCCAGCCGCAGGGAGAAGGGGCTGTCAGCAAGAGCCTTGGAGGAGGAGGGGGCTGTTCCAAGTCTTGCATGGGACGGCTGTAGGCTGAGCCCTGGGGAGCAGAGTTGCTGGCTCCTTCGTCTTCCTTGCTGTGCTGGGCAGTCCCGCGCCTCACAGCATCCAGCCACTTTGGTACTCAAGTTGCTCAACTGGCCAGTCATTTGGCCGTGGCTCCCTGCTTGGCCTGGGCTGTGGGGTCTTCCTAGCCAATGCCCCCCTGAGGCTGGGGAAGGCTGCGCCATGGGCATTATTCAGCTTTGGTAGTTCATTTTGTAGAAGCAGGACAGGACACTTTGTAAAGCAGGTTTCCCTGGTTTACCTACAGCAGGTGAGGTGATGGTGTCATGTCTCTGCTGTGTCAAGGTTGACACACAACTGATATAGAGTTCAGATTTTGGCTTGTATGGGATGGTTGGAAAAGGGATGATCCTGCCTCAGGCAGGGGGCAGAACTAGATGAGCTCTAGAGCTCCCCTCCAGCCCTGCTCCCTAGGATTCCATTACAAGCCAGAAGGGAATCCTGTTCTAAAAGCGGAGCTGGCCAAGCTGTAGAGAAAGCTACCCCTCCTCCAAAAAATAAATAAATAAATAAAGGCGAGAAGTTTGCCAGCGAGAGTCAGTTGTTCTTGGAACCTGGCAAGCAGCTTTGCAGAGCAAAGAGGGCTCTTCTCTGTGGTGTGGAAGGTGCTCTTCTCAAAGTTCTCTCTCAAAGCTTTAGTGGTGTCTCTCTTGTTCTGAACTTGGTAGCAGGGCTCTAGAGAGAGCCCAGGCCCATGTGTGTGCATAAAGCCTAAAAGACGAGCTGAAAAATGTGCTGCAGTGCAGGTGATGGGACTTGAGTTCATCAGCAAGACAAATAACTGAGCTGACCAGGCAGGGACATGAACTGTACAAAGTTGGGTTTTTGGGGCACTTAACCTCATGCTCAAAACTACAAGTTCTCCCTTCTGACCATGTTTTAGCCCGCTCTCCAGGATTGATGTCTGGCTCCTCCCTTCTGCTTGAGCTTCATGAAAGTCATGTATGTGAAAGTGTGCAAGATGTGGTAGCACTCTGAAGTTGTGTACGCCTCACATACTTGCCCAGCTGCCTGCAATAGATTGTACTAAGGCTTTATTTTGAAGCATTCTTGGATAGTAGTATTCTGAATCGCAACCAAGCATTTCAGGGCCTGCTGAGTCTACAGTACCCCAACCGGATGCTAGTGTGATGAGTGAGTGGGTGCTGAGCTGCTTGAGAAATCATGATGTTATTGTCAGCCCTGCTGTAAATGGAGCTGAGTTGCCTGCAGAGGAAGAGTTAAACTGAGCAGACAGGAGGCTGGGCAAAGGTTTTTGCACTGGAAAGCATGGTGTGGTGCAAAGGAAGGTATAATCTGAGATGGTGACAAAGGATAGTGCAGCTAGTTTGAGGGGGCAATGGGATCTCATTTTACAGACTTTGCTCCTACTTCCCTATCTCTGTTCCCTAAATCTGCAAGTCTTCTCTTTCTTGTTTGGAGTCATAGCCAATTAGCAGAGTCGGCTGCAGCGGTCAGAGGCACTGATGGGGAAGCACAACTTAAAAGCTATGCAGTGTGCAGGAGTGAGCTGTCTTTATCAGAGCCAGATGTTCTGACTGCAAGCAGTGATTGTTTTCATAGATTCACAGAGTCAGAAGGGACATCAGTGGGCCATCTAGTCCGATTCCCCTGCCCCTGGCAGGCAAGAAAAGGGTCACCAACCCTGGAGTCATGTGATCCCAGCCAGGTACCTGTCCAGTCTCCTCTTGAAGACCCCCAAGGATGGGGCAAGCACCACCTCCCTTGGGAGCCCATTCTGGATTCTGGCAACCCTGACTGTGAAAAACTTTTTCCTAATGTCCAGCCTAAACCTTCTGTCTAGTAGCTTATGGCCATTGTCCCTTGTCATTCCAGGGGGTGCCCTGATGAACAGATAGTCTCCTACTTCACATTGCTCTCCCCTTATGAATTTGTATGCTGCTGCAAGGTCCCCTCTCAGCCTTCTCTTGGAGAGGCTGAAGAGGTTAAGGTCCCTTAGCCTTTCCTTGTAGGGGCTTCCCTGAAGGCCTCAAATCAGGCGAGTGGTCCTTCTTTGGACCCTCTCCAGGTTGTCTGCATCCCGCTTGAACGGCGGTATCCAGAACTGGACACAGTACTCCAGCTGCTGTCTGACCAGTGCCACACAGAGGGGGAGAATCACTTCCCTGGACCTGTTTGAAGCACCTACGGATGCACAACAAGGTGCAATTGGCTCTGCCAACTGCTTCATTGCATTGATGACTTGCATTCATCCTGGAGTCAACAGTGACTCCAACAGTGACTGTTGGGGGTAGGGGGGATGGAAATTGTTAACCTTGTAATCTGAGACTGGAGAGACTTCTGTCAGGTTAGTTGCAATCCTCTGTCTGTTTGTCTCTGTCCTTATACTACTTCTCTTAGTTGCTGACAGTATTTGCTGTTCCTGATGTTGCACTGCATCTGCCTGTCACAAATGCCTTTGTCTTGATCAAATTTACAAGGATCAAATGGAAAAGAGAGCCCTCACAATGTGATTCAAGTGCCAGAGCCTCAGATAAGGGGGAGGCGGTGCTGTTGCAAGCAATAATGTTGAGATCTGCGCTCCAATGTTGTCAGTTTAATAGGCTCAAAATTGGCAGTTTCCCAGCTTTATTAAAGTTTCCTGACTAGCCAAGGTGATGGAAATGGTTGGCCTATGCCCACTGCTGTTAATTAGAAAGACAGGTGTGTGGGGTATGGTTTCAGGGTGAAACGCTCTGCGTTGTGCTAGTTTCTATCCTTTGCACAAATGTATCCTGCTGTTTCCTCTGTGTAGAGACCTCCATCTCAGCTATAGGAGCCCTGCATATGGGAGAATCCTGTCTGGGAAGGCATTTCCTGTAGCCATAGCTCTGCCTGGGGCTCCTATATTTTCAGAATACAGTAAATGCACTGAGTCTCATGCCCCCAAGGAACAGGAACAGTAATAGCTTTGTCTTGCATCGGGATCAACTGCATAACACAGTGACTTGCTGAAGATCAGATGGTAAGTCAGTGGCCATCAGCAGTAAGACTTGGAGTTTGAATCTGACCTATCCAGCTGTTGAAGGGATGCTTCCTCTGCTGGTCAGCTGAAGTGATGTGTATTTCAGCTCACTGCTGCTCGGGGCCACTTTCTTTTGTGATGTCACTTCTTGGATGAACCATAGCTGCCTGCCTTACTGAACTGATTGGTACCCCACTGTCTGCAGATTTTTGCTGGCAATGGAATTGGGCAGGGTATAGTTGAGTGAGTTGCAGGTGCCTCAGATCCTCCATGACTGGCAGTCTGGGGTGAAGCGGGAGCCATCTTGTAAGATCAGCACATTTGCTCTTGAGCTCTTGGTGATCAAGTGAAAGAGAGCCTGCAATGTTGGTCTTGCAGGACTTTCTTAGACTGATAAGCTCTGGACCTTTCAGGCTTCTAAACAGCTGCATATGGTCTCAGGGCTGAAACCAGCATCCATATCAATTTTGCTTCACTAACAGCCTGCTAAAAGCTCTCAAAGGGTGGCAGCTTTGGTGGGGGGAGGGAAGGGGGTTAGGAGCTAGGAGTTTTAGTAACAGCTGGGCAACTTCGGATATATGTGTTGCCTGGTTCCTAGTAGGTCAACAGTTATGATAGTGGCACATGATGCAGTCCTACCTCTCTAGATGTACACAAGAAACTGTGGTTAGAAATGTCATTTCTAGACCACGTAACTGGCATAGCATTAAACACTATTTGACCTGATAGTCTTCTAGTGAAGACCAGCCCGCAAAACATTTTCAGGTTGGGACTTCTTTCCCCATAAGGATCTGGGAGAGAAATAAGGAATGTGTAAGTGAAGTGTGACACTTTGGTAAGTTAGAAGTAATGCAGAGAACAGAACTCTGCTAGCTTGGCTGCTGGTTTAATGTCATGTTGCCTTCCAGCAGTCTCTTGCTGCAGTATCAGGCAGCATATGTAAGCTGAGTAAGCTGGGTTGGTCATAGCTTTTAGGACCAAAATGGGCTACTGCAGCAGTCTTCCCTGTTCCCGTGCATATGACACCAGAAGGGGTTCCTGCATGGGTGAACTTTTGTTATTATTATCAAGCAGTGAATTATGCTGTTTTAGGGTGCTATGCAGATCTGATCCATTGGACTTTGCTATACTCCTTGAGCACATACTTCTTTCCCCATGTCACCCTGAAACAAAACAACTCAATGTGACCCATGACACACAGCATGCCATTTTACAGCCTTGTGTGCTACTGCAATAGGAGTGTTTTAATGGTGTGTATAGTGTCATTCCTCCACAGAACTACTTGTTTTCTGGTTATGTACCATTCCCATTATCAGTCTTTCGGTGGAAGTGATGGAAGGTCCATTACTCAGTCAAAGCATAAAAAACCCCCCAACAAACAAAAGTACAGCAGGGAATAATCCTGTAGTTCAGGGGGCTAAAATACAGGACCTCAAGTGTCTCTGTCTCTAAAGTGTATTAGCAAAGTCCTGTACAGCTTTCAGGACATATAGGAACAGGCACACACAGTCTCTCCTGTAGTCATCACTGGAGGGGTATTAAA